GGTCTCAATAGGTTCAATAGGTCCTATTGAATATTGAATAGCTCAAGATAACTGTATTGCTGGTAGTATCAAGCCAAAACCTGACCATCAAGGCGGGCAGCTCTGGCGAATCCGGCTTGATGTTATGATAACATTGTTATCCATCAACGACTCGTGTGCCTCACAGCCTGTAGATGTAAAGTTATAAGTCAGATAGCGTCTGCACTTAGAGTTGCAATCTATAACAAGCCACCCGAAATCGCGCATCAGAGCCAGCGTCTAGAGGTGAGGAGATCCAAAACCCGAGAGCAGGGATACACACAGTAGAACATAACGCTTCTCTGTGAGCACACGAAGGGAATGGGCAAGAGCAGATTGAGCTGAGAAGCTGACCATCCGACGAGCTATTCAAGTCGCGTGGACGTTGTCGAATTTGCTCGGTAAGCACATTCACTGGCATCGAGCCGTTCTCACACGGCGTTTCCAGCGAAGATTCGCAATCACATAATGCGATTCGCATCCGCATGAGCAGCTGATACTTCTCACAGGATATCTCTCACATCATGTCGGCTCCAAGCTCATAATTAGTAAAATCCGCCTTCAACCTGCTACATCCAAGCATCACCTCGATGACTGGCTGGCAAGGAGAACGACGAATCCACGGATCACGATGACTTACGAGGAGTGCTCCATTTTCCATCAGACATCTGCAATCGCCAGAATCATGCCTGGAACTCTCGTGCTGAATGATCCTTGAATTGATCCGCAGTCACTCAAAAATGAAGATATTGAAACGAAGGCTTCATAAAGCGTGCATGAGCTAGCCTGAGATATCATCCAACAGCATGCCTCTCGTGAAGGCAGGACCGCTGTTGACGAAGTAGAGACCTCGTGCCCAGTAGGGTACCTCATCAGAAACTCTCGCGTGTGCCTAGGAGAGGAAACGAAAGAGCTATTGCGAAAACAGCATTACTCACAAAGTCTGCCTACCTCAAAACGGACCGTCCGACCATCGATCATCGGGGATGTTGTAATTTTCCGTTTGAGACGCGCCGTAGACGGTGAAATGAGCACATGGCACTCATCCAGCCAACCATCGAACACTTCAGGATGCCGACAGTGCAGTGCCTTCAGTACAGCTAGGCGTCGATTACCATCCTAAGTGAAGCATTCAAGGAACACTCATGAGGCCACCTGAAGGCTTACTAGTGCCATCAACCGATCGCGCTCCACGACTAGCTGCAGAGGTTTGAGAGCGCCTTCCGACAAGGACTCTCTCCTCTCGGCAAGATTCTCGTACATGCGCCCCAGAGCCCGCCCTTCAGGTACCATGAAGAACGGTCTCAGTCGATCATGGCCAAAGTGTATATCGTCAACATGAGCCGAAATCCGTATGAAGGCGTCAGTTGAAGGAATCTCCCCATTTTCTCCCTCATCTCCGAAGGCTGCAGCTTCGATGAGCTTGTATCTATACTTTCCATCATCACTGTCAAGGCAGCACTGTATTGGAGGGGGAACTAAAGGAACACAACCATATGGACTTCTAGATTCAGCATGCACAACACCATGTTGCTTTCTAATCGAGAATTCCGATCCCGAAAACAATCATGGTCACCTAAGAAGCTCAGCTGCTGAGTAGCGACTGATGGATTGTCAATGAGAGCCACGGAACAACCCCGTATAGCGCTTTGACACGCTCTACAATACCCCGCGATGCTCATCATTCGAACAGTAGTACACGACAGCTGGGTGTCTGGTGGAATCTGACCGGATTCTCCCTGTGCTCACGACAGCTTCTCCTCACTACTCACCCAAACAGCCTTCGAAGGGGGGATTGTTTTCGAACTCAATTTTGCCCGGCCCATCGCGGCAGTAGCACCGAGTTCCACCCCGCCGGCACTTAGAAGTATCCAGGAGAAGACGAATGTACATCGCTGATGGTCATTCGACCGGAACAGAGGCATCAGCTGAAGAGACTACATCCCAAGAGCCGTACGCAGAAGCAAGGAAGGCCTCGGTGATGATACTCACACACACCATATACAGTAAAATGTTGAGAACGAATCTCTAAACGTTCGAATGAGTCAGTTTATAAGAAGTCCAGCGATGAGTCGACCTAAGATGCTCAACAGTCACCTCGCGTGGTGGTCAACAGCAGATGCCACACGCGGAGCCACTGCTATCTAAAGCCCTCCACCTCCACTTCCAGCCTCAAACAAGCCATCAACACCCCAACAAGAGGACATCCTGAGACCCCTCGCCTTGCCATTGACAAACTGAAACTCGGGAGAGTGCCGGTGAGACTTGACACAATAACTGTGGACCTCCCAATACAATGGTGACGATGATAGGCCGAGGAACCCATTACAGATCGAGCAGGTCGAACGTCGTCGGACCTGAGCACCCGGTGAACTAACGGGAGGCGAGAGACCTTATAGGAGCCCTACCTGGAGTTGGTCTGGTATAAGCGTCAGCAGATGAGGACCCATCCTCCTCTGAAATACCTCTCGGCTGTGCTTGGCTGAACGAAAAAGCGCCATGTACATGCGTGCATACCAAAGTGCCTTTACGTTCTGTCATCTCCTTGCAACAAGTCCTGTTGATAATCATCACCAGTGTAGTCGTCTGTATCATGAACCTGCTCAGGCTAGTAACCCAAGCACCCGGGTTCGATTCCTCCCACCCTCATTCTAGTAATGAACTCCTCTGCTGGTAGATAAAACACACTCGACATGAGCCCAGTCTCGTCACATAGCTTTTTCAGCAGCTGCCGATGATACTGTCGCATATAACTCGACTCCACCGGGGACCAAACCTATCACATGACCATTGCCCTTGTCCATGCCCCCTCCCCAAGAAAACACCTCTGGCTTGTCGCACAGCACGATCTGCTTGGCCAGCTCTGGATCCGTACTAAGGAGCCTCCAATAAAGATACCCTCTGTCCCTCAGGTCTGGGTTATCGCTGTACTCTGTGCACATCTGGAGAACCTATAACCAGACTCGTGAATTAAGGACCACCACAGTGTCACCACGACCGACCTGTGTCACCATAGGCTCGCCGATACCAGGGCATTTGAGGAAAAGCTTCACAATAGCCGTCAATAACTGCAGTTGCACACTCACAGGCTCATCAGCGAAGAACTCCATGAATGTATTGAGGACCTGTCGCCAACCAAAAAATACCAACAAGCCTAGCGGAGCGATGCAGCCAACATACCGTATCCACATTCTCTATATGCTCAGCATATTCTCCCAATATCCATATCATACTGGCCTTTGCCTCAGGCTGATCCAAGGACTCTAGGTTATCGCACAGTGCCGAAATCGCCTTCTCATATCTACCGAGACCACCCGCCAATATCCTACAGCCGACGGTACTATTCTGTGTCCAGATGATCAATCGTTGTAGATGGGGTCAATTACGGAGGGCGTAGGTTCAATACCGGGGTCGGACACGTGCGAAAAAATGCCATGATTTTTTTTTCGAAAATCGATTGCGGCCAGGGTCCACGTAATAGAACTTTATAAGAGGACCTTATATTCGAAATTCTAGCTCCACAGTCATTCTGTAGAAAGAGTTACCCCCGCACACGTACGTTCGGTCTCCAGATGGCGCGTACTGTATTAGGGTGAACGCACATGGAAGAACTACAGAGTCGATAACCCTAACCCCTTTTACTCTATATGATATTTCCGCAAGATATCAGCTACAACCACGACCGCCTCCTGCACCTGAACAACTCCACTCAAGTCGATCGGGCCCGTCCCATTGTCTACTGCTTACGACATGGTTGACCTTCATTTCGATGAGTTCGAGGAGAACAGGCATGGCCATTCTCGCTACGCCGTCCACTTCCACTGCTACTCGCCCGATCGCTCTGACCTGATCATCAGCTCCATCCACGATGTTCCCTCGATCTACCATAGTCGGAACCACAACTCACCGCTTTCCGAGAGAAATCGATATCAACATCAGCAGCATACTCCTTAAATTCTGACAGCACCTGTCGAGACCAATACACAAGACGAACCCTCCCATCAGCACCAACCTGCTCAGCATTCTTCGGAGTGCACAGGCGTACCATCATATCCACTTTCTCTACCTTCAGGTACACTGGGTCTGTATATCTAACACAGAGCAACAGGTCCCAGAGGGAAGGGAAGGAGAGCATAACGCCCTCGACCCCTCCCTTCCGATAACACAATCAATTCACCCCCACATTCAAGGGCCCTATCGGACGTACTCATAAACGTGAGCTCAGCAGAATAGTCCTACGTCGATTCTCATTCACGATAGCATGGCTATGATCGAGAACACCAACCCCCAGAAAAGCCCAGAGGTACTACCGACAAAAGAAAACCTTCACATCACTGTTCATGACCTGCGGATATCTCTGTACTATCAAATTGAGGTTACGAATTGCAACATACCTAAAGATACACCCCATCGCACCGCGAAGATTTCACTCCGTGCAACACAAACAAGAATCCTACTGAATCTCCGGTGGGTTAGAGAGGAGGGACACTAGGGGTGGATGCAGCTTCTTCACCACTTGCTTCACAAAGTCGGCATTCTCTGTCACCTTGTCCAAGTCGGACATGATCACTGAGGCACACGATGTAACAGAAATGTGGTATGCACGCATGCTCACTCACCTCTCATCGCTGCCATAACAACTGCTGGGTTAGCATGCGACAGTCGTGCCGTGACACGTTCGATAACCCCTTCCGCATCTTGCGAACCTAACCTCTAGATACCCCAAGATACCCCAACCTCATCCCTTCCCTACCATTGGGTTCATACAGTGCAATGCCGTCCAGAAGCATCACTTGTCCCCATTCAGTGCACTCATTCAGAGCTGAAAAGACCATACTACTACTACTACTACTACTACTACTGCCCGCCATCCTACTACCTGATAGAAGCTTCTCCACCATCCTTGAGTTCATGCCCAGGACCGATGGATCCTCCTTGCTCTCCGATAGCTCCAAAAGGCTCGCCACAGCATTAGCCACGACCACTGGGTTTCTGACAATGCGAATAACCGGCGATCGAATAGCCGTCACTGCACCCTGAAATTCCGAGCCCCTCGTCACCTGTCGCCTGTCATGTCCCTCAGGACCTCTATGAAGCCTTGATCCTCTACGACTTCCGGATTTATCTGATACCGACTCAAGTTCGATCCCTTCCTCTGTTCGCCATCGCATACTACCTCCCACACTTTCGAAACACATATGGCAGCAGTCTTCCGCACATACGGGTCTTGGTCGCGGCAGCACCGTCGTAGAGGCTCCAGCAAATACCTGCGATATGAGCGTCACGCGCCCCGAAACTCCACCGTGCTCCCGCCTCACTCGCAAATCTGGTCAAGTCGGATACACCCCATCGTCCGTAAAGCGAGGGCACGGATAAGTGGGTTCGGATCACCTGATTGGGCACGCAAGTTAAAGATCATTTGATACGATTTCGAGGAGAAGTGGTATGAACTATTGACCGGAAGTCATAACGACGCAGAGGCCTCCCCAAGTACCTGCGTCCTTCATAAAAGTATTAACAGCAAGCACGGCCAGTTCGGGTTGGGTCTTCGCATAATTGAGAACCTGTTCACAGAAAAGGTATCTTAGGTCGAAGCACGTAAGATACGGAAGTGGTACATATAGATACACAAGTTTCTTGATCTCCATCTGGTTCGACTGCATACATTGTACCATGTCCGGAAAGAGGCTGGAGACATCCTTTCCTAAGGTCATACTCGCTATGACCTGATAATAGAGAAGTGTAGGCCTGTTCAGGAGTTAGTCGACAAAGCCGAGCCATGTGTAATATATTGAGAGCCCTCTCAATTAGAGCTCAACTAATTAGAAGGCACTAGTGCTGGGATGGAACCCGGGTGGTCAGCATAGAGACTCAGCGACCTTCCCAACTGACCCACCCGCTTGATAGCATCTTTCTGCTTATGTTTATCATGACTGTGCAACTCCTCCTTCATCTCATGTATCTCACTTCTCTTATTAGCATGGAAATACCGACCCTCCTTCTTTTTCAGGACCTGTCATCGCTACCTCTACCTCTCTACCATCCCCTTACCCACCTTGGGCACTGCAGCCGACATCTTGCTCTGAAGGTGTTGGAGGCTCTTTAGATTCAACGAGCTCATCTCAAACCCAACTCACAAAGAGAAAAAACTACAATAACAACTGCTGTTGCCTCCACTTCTTAACACACTGAACACAAACCTTGTTTCAAACGTTCGAAACTGCGTATGAAAAGCTCTCCCGATGACATTTTTTTCTCTCCTGTGTGTATCACCGCGCCACAAACTTCCTGAGCCCCCCGCTCATAGTAAACGTTGCCTATCGAGTACTCATTTACTACGTTAGACAGCGCCAGTGGGACTTCCTTCTTGGAATTTTTTTCTGACAGCGTCGACCGAAAGCTCAGCGTCGTGTCTACAGAACTTCCAATTTGATATTTCAAACCATCGGTTTCGTCGTCATTAGTGGTAGCCTCAGTTGAAGGTCCTTGGATACTCGGCCAGAGAAAGATCAAGCGCTCACCAGCTTAATAGCAAGTTGAGGATGTCAAAGTGCTGGAAATGTGTCTACATACCTTGCGTAGAAAATCGATAACCTGGGCGCGCGAGATGTCCGCTGTCGTAGAAAGGATAAGAGGTTTAGCGTAGCTGTGGCCCCATAGCAGCCTACTTTTGCGTGTATTTTCGACTGGCAAATTGTCGGATAGGAGTTTCCTATGAGATAACCTTATGCGCTACTGAACGCTCACGTTGCGCACAGCGAAGAATTTACTTTGTCGGTTGGATAAGCGTTGGGCAATTTTGTGGCGTGTGACTATCCGAAGTGTCCTTGGCTGAGCTTAATAGCGGCGTTCACTGTGCGAGTGGGCGAGTATCTTGGGTTCAAGGATGCGAGATACAGAATAGGTCCGAATTTGTGCCATCAATTCAGTCGATTTTCTTAGACTAGGATGATTTCCAGCACCCAGGCATTCGCTAACGCTGCCGCCGCGGCCGATAAGATCAAAAATGTCCACTTGAAAGAGCTTATGGCTGATGAAGGTGAGGGCGATGATTACCCCTTGTCGTGGTAAGTTATTCTTCATGTCTTCTCAGAGCGCAACAAGTCCATGTTCGTGACCCCTTCCGACTTAAAGGGTGTGACATTGGACTATTCCAGAGAGCGCCTCAACGATGCTTCCCGCAAGGCTCTGTTTGACTTGGCCGAGGAGGCTCATCTCGATCAGAAGATCGAAGATATGTTCAACGGTAAGGAAGGTTGAGGTGTCTCTTCTGGTGTGGATGGGGTTTCCTTTATAGGTGTTAAGATTAACACCACTGAGAAGAGGGCCGTCCTTCATACCGCCTTGAGAGCTCCTCGCGGTAGTAAGGTCATGGTCGATGGTAAGAATGTCATCGAGGATGTTTGGGTAATAGGGGGAGTTCGCGGCTGCCTATCTCGAGGTATATGGTTCTATCCTCTCATCGCCCCTTTTAACCTCTTTTTTCTATCATTTTCGTCCCAACTTCAGAGAGTTTTGGACCAGATCAAGAACTACTCCGACAAGATCCGCTCCGGCGAGCACCGTGGTGTGACCGGCAAGCTCCTTAAGAACGTCGTGGCTGTCGGCATTGGTGGTTCCTATCTCGGTAATGTCCACAGGGACCTTGGCTCTGTCGCGTATTTTCCATGACAGGTCCCGAGTTCGTCTTCGAGGCTCTTCGTACCGACCCTGTGGCAAAGAAAGCCGCTGAGGGAAGGACGACTAAGTTCCTAGCCAACGTCGACCCTATCGATGTTGAGAGAGCCCTCGATGGTCTCAACGCCGAGGAGACCCTCCTTGTCGTCATCTCCAAGACCTTCACCACTGCCGAGACCATGCTCAATGCGAAGACTGTTCGCCAATGGCTCTTCGACAACCTCGGCAAGTCCCCTGAAGTTGTCAGTAAGCATGTCTGTGCATGCTCAACCGCCTTGGAGTTGACCAAGGAGTTTGGTATCGATGACGAGAACGTCTTTGCCTTCTGGGACTGGGTCGGAGGCCGTTACTCTGTCAGCTCCGCTGTTGGCTGTCTTCCTCTCGCCCTTCAGTACGGCTTCGAGCAGGTTAACCAATTCCTTCAGGGTAATGCCCATGTCCCATCTGGAGAGATTCCCATGTCACAGTGTTTAGGTGCTCATTTGATGGACGAGCATTTCCGCAACACTAAGGATCTCAGTCAGAACATCCCAGCTCTGATGGGCCTCATTGCCGTCTGGAACCGCACGTTCCTCGGTGCCTCGTCCACGGCCATTCTCCCTTACTGCCAGGCCTTGGTGAGGTTTGTTGCTCACATTCAACAGCTTGATATGGAGAGCAACGGCAAGCGAGTAACTCTCAACGGCCACACTGTGGATTTCAGCACTGGTAATTACAACACATGCCCATTATTCGTTGTATCATATTAACAACAGGTATGGTCCACTTCGGTGAGCCCGGCACTAACGGCCAACATTCCTTCTACCAGGAGCTTCATCAAGGCACCACTATTGTGCCTAGCGAGTTCATTGGGTTCGCCAAGTCGCAGAATCCCATCAAACTTGCCGGCGAGCCCGTCAGCAACCACGATGAGCTCATGTCTAACTTCTTCGCCCAACCCGATGCTCTCGCCTTCGGCAAGGGCTATGACCAGCTCGAGAAGGAGGGGGTGAGTTGAAAGATGTGTGGTATGTGCGGACTTGAAGTAATCAGGTCCCTGCTGAGTTGATGGACCATAAGTTCTTCCCCGGCAACCGTCCCTCGTTATCTCTCCTCTTCCCTGGCACATGCAACGCTACCTCTGCTGGTGCCCTCCTTGCGGCCTATGAGCATCGTACTATGGTCCAAGCAGCCATCTGGGGTACCAACTGCTTCGACCAGTGGGGAGTGGAATTGGTAAGCTGTCATGTGGTTGGTATACTCTTATCGCGATTTTTCTCAGGGCAAGGTCTTGGCCAAATCAGTGAGAGCTCACTTCGCCAACCCCTCCGCTGGCGTTAGCGAGTTCTGTGGCTCGACTCAGAGGCTCCTCAAGCAGTACCATCAGTAGGGCGTCATAGTAGTGGCGATGGATCGTATTGTTGTCCTCTCAGAATGAAGTAAGCGTCGCTATATTGGCGTGGCCGACCGAAGTACGTCAGAGTGCTTTGCATAACGCGATTGTCTCATCCTTCTCTTGAATATTTCCCTACCAAAAGTATGTCTAGTATTATGGAAAAAACTGAATGTTGTGATTGCGAGTTGCTTCGACCGAGGTTTTCATATATCGTTGTGTTATGGTCAATTAGGGGGGCATAATCCCACGGTCAAGATAGGATAATGTCGAAGCATGCAGTTGCGGTTAGTTCAGTAACGTGTGGTATGCGGTAGTTGTGATGAAGTTGATTGCCAGTTCTTGACGCACTTGGATGTTGTAATTACTGTGGCTGGAAGGTCCCACGTGAACTCAGTGCAGTTGCCGTCAAATTGATGGCTCATCTTCTCATCGACGAGGGGCATTACGGATTTTCATCAATGATCAGTAAGTCGTGTCACGACGGCAACTTCAACGTGAGGGTCGAGACTGTGGCATTGTATTCGTGTCTAACAGTTCACCTCCGTGCTGGGGCGACTATGTGTGTCGGTTTCTTCGAAGCGACTTTCACTTATCAGTTGTGCAGAGTTGTTTTCAGGTTCTGTGTGAATTTCAGTGACAGTTGAGAGCGATATGAGATGGACCACGGTTTCAGCTGAGCTCCACGCCCAACTCGCATCGCAACACCCACTGCTGTTGAGCGATTGAGCACGATGTGACTTTAATAAATGTTCAATCTATTGGACACGCTCAGAGAAGGAACCATGCAGGGCACAGTTAAGCGCCCGCTCTCTGCCCCTCTTCATACGAACAGTCATGGACGAATCCGTCATGGACCATCCGTCCGTGGTCATGGACCATGACAGACGCTATCGACGGAATCATTAGAATGAGAGAACCTTCTTCTCCATATTCAGAAACTTCTATGGTAGCATTGCTACACTCGAAGACGTAATTCTTCAATTCATTGACTTCGGACACCTCGTGATGGAGTTGCACCATTACTACGACTGTGCCCGGCGTGCTTGAGGATATCTATACGATTGTCTATTAATTTGACGACGCACATTCTCACTACTACCAGTTCATGTGCTTTCTTGAACTCCGTTTCTGATGATGGACCAAGTCCATGTTTGTCAATCAGTGAGAGTTGGCTCGTCGAATCAAGGAAGGCCCTCTCATCGGAGCTCCGGTCTCTGTGCTCAAATATATGTAACATCTTGGGCCCACGTTCGATAGGATTCTTACTGAGACCGATCGTCGACTCAGCCAATCAGTTATGAGAATTGCCCTTCCGAATATCAACACTCAGTCTGTGGGCTTCCGCCCGATTCATTCAATGGTCTACCATGCCCCGTGAAGGAAGCCACGACGGTCCCTCCTCTAAAGTGATGAAGAACCTCACTGACACATCGCGAGCAGCGGTAACACTAGAAGGCTATGATGTCGACATGGACCCACCACCTCCTCAGTCGACAGAGCATTCCAACCATGGCATGAGCGAATTCCCCGAGGAAGCACTCGCCTCTCTCTCATCACGAGGGCGTATGAGAATCGCTGACCGGGGCCTCACTCCGACAGAGATACTTAAGTGAGTTCTTCCAACGATCCCTCGAACAGCCTCTCTTGCTCCAGGTCCCCGAGGTTCGTCGAGGCTTGCTATAGGCTAGGCCTGAGACCATCTGAAGTCGATATCTGGCATACCCAGGATTACAGCAAGACTCCTCAACCAGAGTTCCCAAGCTATACGACACTTGATGAAACAGATCTTCCCCTAGATTGGCGTATATCCTGTCTAGCTGAAGCATTGTGAGGAAGCAGTCGTGTCCGGTGGGAGGCAGCCTCATATCACTCATTAGGAACGAGTACGACACCATTATGGTCAAGTCGAGCTACGCCAATACCCAGTCCTTCGACGAGTGGATGCAAGGCAAGAACCTGTCGACAACGGGAGGTTCTCAACGAGGCCGATCTCTTGACCGTGAGGAAGGCCTGGGCTACTAGCCGTCAGTGAGAGGCTATTCCTCAGGCACTCTGCGATCGATCACAACGCCTGATGACTTTGCCACCACTGCTATGGCACGAATGCGGTCTCATATGGCACGTCTCGAGAAACAGAAGGCTTCCTTCATGGACAACGAAGCACGGAGTGAGTCTCAATAGCGAAAAAGGATATGTTTGCCTTCCAATAGAAGCTACCGCAGACTGACTCATGTTCAGGAGAGAGGGCAAGATCGAGGAGTGCCCAACGGAAGAAGGAGCGAGATGAGCTCATATATCAGCGTATGATGGAAATGCTCGACAAGGAGCGTCGCCAACAGATGTGCTTCCGATCCAACTTACGACAGTCCAGAATTATCATCAGGTATCGACAGCGTATGGAGCAGCTAGCCGAGGCCACAAAGCGTATGCGGGACGCCAAGCGTGGGGACAGGTTCAAGCGGAATAAGGATATGCAGGAGCACAATCGGTAGAGACATGTGTTGACCTTCCTGCCGGACTCAACTCTTTCCCAGTGACCAGCTGCTGCAAGTCCGCAAGGATCGTGAGATGAGACTGTCAGAGGCACTCGCCGCCAGGGTGGGCTCAGTCGATAAATAATTGCTAAGCAATCGCGCTTTGCTCAGGCGGAGTCTCGTCGAGCCAAGAGGGCTGCGTTACTCAGCGCAGAACGCTCACGGTTAGCTCGACTACGAGAAAAGGTGAAGGATGATGAGCGCAGGAAGGTGCCCATTATGAGGCCCGAGCCTAGCCGTATTGAGTATGAATACTCAGATGGCTTTGACTGAGGAGATGCGTGCTAAAGACACGCGTAGCAAGGATCAGCTACACCGTAACAAGATGGAGTTCGAGGCTTTCGTCCAGGAAACACATCGAAAACGAGCGGTCCGACCTGCTACCTTTGCTGCTTTGATGATCTATTGTGTGTCTATGGTTAGATCAGTGAGCATCTGGTAGAACGAAGACGGAGACGTGAACAGTACCTCAAGGACGCTGAAGCTGATCGACAGGTCCTCGAGGCCGCCTGTGACATCGAAATGGAACGAATGACTCTGGTAAGGGCCTCACTCTGGTTGATTTTAAGTACCTTAGTATTATCATATGACGAGGTCGATCTTCTGATTCGTAAGCCCAGACAAGACTCAAGTGGATCGCTGAATTCAATCGTCCTGTATACTTCCTCTCAGGCAATGAAAAGGCAGCGAGTCGAGTACGACCGTCGGAAGTTCCAGACCAACTTCGAAGCTGCCAAGAAGGACAAACGTCCAAAGTCGGCAGCCTCTTTGACTAGCCTGTTGCCTTCTATCAACCACCACTCGGTGCTGCCTCGGTCCCCTCAGTGGAGCCTGGCCCCACGCTTGTCGACCCCTCGGGGTTACGACTCTGGTCTAGGGCCCGGCTCCTACGACATACCGTCCACTCTTGGGGCCGATCAGATCGGCCCTCGATGGGCGCCCGACTCTGTTGATCGTTCGGAGCTGGCCGAACGCCCGGTGCGGTACGAGCCTCCACCACCGAGCTCCCCGCCGAGATCACCTAGTATGAGCCCCATACTGAGACCGGTGCGGGGGAACGATGGGCCCGGGCCAGGACATCGGCATGAGCCTGTATCCGTTCATAGGCTACCCAGGCCTCGAGATCCCAAAGCCATTGCAGAGTAAGCCCCACATCGACATCTGTTTGGCCGACATCCTCAGTCTCAGGCACTTCCGTGTCCTCGTGGAGTCGGGACGGCATTACTTGAGTATGGTGAGCCAAAGCCGAGTGAGTGCAGCTTCTGTAGCGAACGACCCCGGCAGCATTTTCCGGTCTCGCCATTCAACCAGTTGCCGACGGTCCCTCAGTAGTCTGCGATCGTCCAGCTCACGAGGTCGCCTGGGCGACGACGAGCCGGACCAGGCCCCAACCGAACTCGCGGTACCGAGGTCGGCGACGCCGGCAACGGACATCCGGGAAGGGGCAGAAGACAGCTCGGTAGAACCCACTGAGATGGCTGGAAATGGGGCTGCTCGAAATGGTACTGCAATCTCTTCTAAAGAGGAAGAGGACGAAGAATACGAGTCCGACTTTGTCGAAGAGTAAGGCTTCCACCATTACTCTACTCACCATCATGTGCTGTGTCTGCTGCGATATACCACACCTTGTGTTCGTCAATTGCATGGTCTGTATATGGCCTAGTGCGGCGCTTCTTCATCACGAGTGCTACTACCCCTATTGATTGAACCAAGATGCCCCTCGACGAACGACCGCTATCTATGGGGACCACACCGGCGTCTACTCGACACGCCATCGCGCCCTCCAATAGGGTCGGTCCTGCGGAAGTGCTCGCTGTATGGTCACCCTATTGGGTCGTCCCAATCTAGGTGCCATCATCGACACAGGCAAGACAGGGGTCTTGGAGGTCTCGACTGGCGACGCGCTTTCCCCTACTATTCATGCAGGACTGCGTAAGTCGCCTCTGACCACTATGTTCATTGATCGATTAGGAAGTACGCACGAAGCGGTTGGAGAAGCTAGCGACGAGACTGTGCCGCAAAGAAGAGTATTTCAACGGTGTCGCCAGGCCGAGACATAGAAGGCCGCATCCCCGAGTATGCAGTAGATAGAAGCATGTAAAGTGTGTGCCAATTTGATATGCAAATGTGAACAATGTGCGCTATTTTCTGAGGCGAATGATAGTGAACAAGTTGTCGCTATCACAGTTTCGAGCGGTTATTTCTATCACATCACATGTTCATAGCGATATTTACGTGAACTATCCAGCATAGTTTCAGATCGATTCCTATTAATTTTTCACAGATGCATATCAATTTGGCACACACTGTATAGCATATCTTCTGAGCACAAGGTAAGGTCTATTCCAACACCTGTGCTCAGATATTGTGGCAAGGCGGATGGCCTCTCGATCGAGCTGAGGGCGAGCGACTGGCCACGACCGGCAGTTGCCCGAGGCTACCACTACACAACCCTCAAGGGCGCTCAGGATCCCGCGATGAATATGGGAACTCGTAAGACTAAGAACGGTGCCTCTCAGCGGCAGTCATGCCCCTCTGTGTGTCTACACCGTAGGTACATCGTACACACAGCCATGCCGTCCTCTTCAATGTCGCAGAATAATAACACTGACATGCTTCAAACAGTGGCTGTCGATAGTCCATCATCGGAGATGAAGGTCTCTGAGTCGCTCTCAGCTTTCGAAGAGGTTGGGACGGTCAAGGTGTGCTTGTCCGCATGCGGTTGCCCCTCAGGGTATACGAACAGACATTCGTCTGATGGCACGATCCTGGAGGCCTGTTGTCTGGGGTCACCCCTCTCGACAGGCTAATACTTTGCAATTATGGACACCACATGATGGGAAAGCGTAAGCGTGTTCGAGTTAATCCCTTGTATTGAGGTCGTCTCAGCGGTTGGGCATGGCGCACGGGGCCCCTACCCCGTATGGATCGAGCTTGAAGACGTTAACCCGGAAGGGCTTACTTCCTCATCTACCAAATGAACATATGTGTCCCCTTCCTTACTGTGTTGCTTGTAAGTCTCCATATGGGTGTCAAGATTCACAATGAGGGACATACGCTATAGGATCCAACGGTCGATGTCTCCCTCTCTCACGACGCTGTTGGTGGATGCTCTCGATTATACCTGAACTTACAGTTGTCTGTGAAGAAAGGCAGGACTACTGAAGAGTGATAAGTCGTCACCAGCACTTACCGAATTCGGCCACGCATACCCTCAATGAAGCTCCGCAACAAGAACACTGTGATGCGCATTCAGATGTACCCATACTGTATAGTATGCACAGTATCATGCATCATGTACTGTGAACAGGAAGGTGTGGAAATTAATTATCATTCCAAAATTATCCTGTTTCCATGGCTATTCCCCTTCCCACCCTACGTTACCCAAAGGTCCCACTTAACACAAGCACTCAGTTGGATCAATCATAACAAACGACGCAGAGCACACGGCCTCTCTGGGCCACCATCGGCGACTGCTTGAGGATGGGACCGTTTCCTCCTCGCCTCATTACTCCTATGGCAACGATGGCCGTGCAATGACGCCTAAGAACACCAATCTCACAGAGTGACTACTATCATGCGGTCACAAATGTTCAAGTACAACCCGTTTCCTTATCATCTTAAACAAACTGTGGCAATCTCGATAACCTCACAGATATCCACCAAACCAGTAGTATTATTATTGCATTGCAAACGATATCAAACTCGAGGTACCCCTAATCAGCATTCTATTGCTGTTCGAAGGGTATCGAGTCAAGTCCGGAATAACCCATTCCCTCCAATTCCTACACCGCGGAACCGAGCCTCTCCCATTCTCTCAAAATTTCTTCGCTCCGCCTCCGCCTCACGACGCTCGTCTGCCATAGAAGCCTCATAGCCTTGATAATACCAGTCCAAGAAGCAACTGTTGATGCACATCAATGCCACCAACTAGATAGGCACTACTTCTTGTTCCCGACAGCAACACCACCATCACCACCTTGTCCCTCTACCTCCCCACACTCCCCTTCCCCTGCTCGAGGATCTACTATACCTAAGGTAACAACAGCCTCCAACGCGACAACCCGAGGGTAGGAATTACCTCGAGAGTCGTCCCCAAGGTATTGTGCGGGTCCAAAGTCCTCCCCACCAGGCTCTATGCCCTGTTCAACTGCCGCATTGCGAGGCGCTGCGTATCTGCCGGAAGGAGATACTATGTCCAATTCAAAGCAAACTGCGATGTTCGTCACACCACTGACGAGGTTCCTGCAGCTCCGGAATTTCGTGGCGAGTGACTGAGTCTATACTGAACTCTCGACACCCCGACACTACCTGAATATCCTCATGCTGATAGGGCAGACCCAGCACTGGTTGCCGCGGTCCCACATAGCGCTATCACAGGCTGAGTCCTCCATCGTGCGCCCGTTGCACTCGTGGATGTGACCCGTCTCATCGCAGACGAAGGCATCTCGGAATTTCCGAGACCTCCACAGCGTGCACCTGAGGACATCCTTCTGGTGATGCCCCTGAGACCACCTGGACTCTGGACCTCGTATTATCACAGGTGTGCGTAGGAAAGTCCTTCGGGTCTGGATGCTCTTCTGTATCTCGATACACTACTCGCCAGAGCATCCACTCGTCTCGTGCTTCCCTCCATACCCGCCGTTCACGGTCCAACTGGGCGGCTCGAGACGCGGAGTAAGGCGAACGCAAAGACGAGGGAGCGGACGGCTCATTAGTGGTGGTAAGATGGCCTCCACGAGGAGTCTGAGTGCTTATAAGATAAGCCACAGAATGTCCATGGCGCACTACCGCTTGAATGCCAAGAGCGACTGCAGCATTCCAGTCGCCCCAACTCTTATCAACAACTTCAGCTTTATCCACACCGGAGGCCTCCGAGTCGGCCCGGAGCTGCAGTTCTTTCTTCCAACAGCGGACAAAGGGTTTATAACGTAGGTTGGCCTGAAGAGTCAACACGTCATAGGTCGCTCGAGCGCTCTATAGAGCGATGCCCTAACTATGACTATTACTCTCCGACCGTAACGGTCCTTCCTGGGCGGCCAGCGGTAATGATAAACCCAATACCACAATTCATCACGATTCCCACACGCTCTCAGGTATCTGGAGTGCGGCGTAACAGCGGAGGAAAAATGCGGAAAAGGTCATCACCTGCATGTCTGTGATGAGCTTATTATGGAGGAGGCCGGTAGGAAGGACAGTATTTTACACACAACATCATCGTGGATGTCGATGAGGCCGAGTCGAGGCGAGGTGGGAGTGGTAGTGGAGGAATCCATGTCCAACAGGTCGTTAAAAAGGTCCGACTCGCTAACCTGATGATACCAAAAATCTCCCAAATCTCCCACCAGGT